ACCAAAAACGTGTAGTCTTTTAAGCTGACCGCAAACAATAATGTAACAATGATAATGGTCTGAGCATGATCATGAACGATATTTTTGGATTTTATCTCTCATTCACATAATTTCAACACCACTGAAATCGAATTGAATTCGATGTAAATTCCAAGAGACTATAAAAACAAAAACTTCAGAGCAACAAAAGATATACTTATTGGTTTTCTCATTTTTGTCTAACACTTAAAGAATGATGAAATTTTATTAATTCACACCGTTTTTTGCAATCTTTTTCTCTCTCTTTCATTGTTAATTGGATAAATTTCCCTCCGGTGAACGGTGAAGCCGTTTCGTTCCAACTTTTCCATAATATCTCTGTCTATTGCTGTTGTAATAATATACACAACGCCCGCGGGCCTCGTAAGAATGAGTTTGCAGATATGTCATTTCACGTTTGTAGAAGTCCTACCGTTTTACGTTACCGTTTATGGTGGATTGTGTTATTCTTTGTTTTCTCTGGCTTAATTGCTTAACAACCCTTATGAACAAGCAAAATGTGTGGAGTAGTTTTCATACGATTGCGCCATAACAATAAGCCACGATTTCGAACGCGTCTTAATCCTTCATCATAGCAAGCGCTGGTTCCGATAATTGTTTACAATTTTTCCCTGCATTTCATTGGAATTTCAAGCGATGTAGCTCAAACTGTCTCAATTAATTATCATCAGCTCAAAATGTCAACAAAGCGCATCTCCACCATGTCCGAAGCCTCCGGGCATAACAATTTCCCAGAAACGCCCTGGCCTCCACCTGTCCAACTGCGCCGCCTACTACGCCAACGCGCACGTCAAAGTTGTAGAATCCGCATGAGTCGCATGTCGCTCATTCCTCATCGATAATGAAACATAACTATCGTGTGCTTTGTGCTGCTGATGTGTTCATACCCCGCGTTTCTAATGAATATCTATCCGGAGACCGGCAGAGCCCATATAGCCCTCTGCCATTTTCCCCCCAATAAATCAATCATCTTCCAACGGGTAGCAGCTGTAGTATGTACGGCGTTGTTGGGCTAGAGTCGGTAATGGGTAAAACGCGATTTTCATGTGCGCACGTGAGTCTCGTGCGCTGATGATGATGATGATGATGATGATGATGATGTTGCTGCCCCTGCCAAGGCAGAGAATGACAGTAAATTAGCCGATCAACAGTTTAGAAAAATTCTAAATATCACAGAGAACATTTCCCAACCGGTGCCTCGTGACGAGGAAATGGCTGCCAGATAAACAAAAACCGTATAAGATGGAAAATTGTTCAATATCACATTTTTCCTATGATACTACACTGCTGCCACTGTACATAAGCTTTTGTACGATGTCATTATCATCGAAACGCAAAAATAGCAATCTGTGAGTAATCTACATTTAATGTGTGTAATTGAATGGCAATGCAGAGCCAAGTGCAATCCGGCAATAACGGTGCAGAACCTTGTGTGCGTGCTTGGTTTTATTACGTGTGTTTTTTTTTTCGATTATCATCATCATAATCATCCACTGGATTATGTCACATTGGTTTCAATTGACAATACCTAGCCTAGCCTGACTTTGGTTCAGGTTTGATTGATTTCTTGATTTGATTTAAAATGCTTTCTTGAATTTAACAATTTAACTTTGTTTATGTATTTTCAGGTAAGCGGGATCACAATCCAAACCTTAACTGATGTCTTGCAAGGAAATAGACTTAATAGATGCTGGTAAAGTAAAATTAAACGATGACAACGAATATCTACGGGATTAGTTATCCAAATAGGAAAGCATCACAAGCGTACGTAAAAGGGGTGACGAACAACTCTCAAACTGGCACCGTCTGTCATTTCGTTCATTTGAGACCTGTGTTTGAGTCATTGGGACACCTTAAATAGATCCACGCGACTTGTATTGGCCTAATAGCGAATTCATTTATTATTCAGTTCCAACCTGGATCGGGTATCAAGATTGGGTCTGCTTGTTTTCTGACAAACGTCAGTTTGATCGTTTGTTTTTAAAACCCAGCTCAGGTTGAGGTTTGCACTGACACAAAGTTAGGTTCTGCACTGGGTTGGAGGGACTGGTTCCAACGAATTCGCTATAAGAATAATCTACAGCGAGTTGACCTTACCCCACCCCCTTGCGGTGCACGAATGTGAAAATTTTACTATTACACAATTTCGACTTGAAAATTGAGCTTTCGATTGAACTTCTTCTTTTTTTCATTTGGCTAGTACGTCTTAACTGTAACTTTTTAACTTCCCCAGCGCTGTCAGAAATTCCTAGAACGTCATTTAAGTTGTATGCAATCGTCTGGAGCTCATTAACTAACTCCGAAGCGCTTTGAACTTTTCAGCAATTTGTCAACCGCCCGCAGATCTTTTATGAGGCATTCTTAAGATCTCTGAAGTCCACTGAACCTATTAGTAGATCGCTGGTCTTTATCAGTACTGTCACAAGCTTCACAGATTTTTTTCTTTTCAGATGGTTTCTGGAGCACTTCAGAGAAGTTGAGAGATTTTTCGATAAATTTCTCTGAATTAAATAGAATATCAGTGAAACTGGGTTCTTTAATTTTTAAAGATTTATCGGTTATACAGCTTTGCTTTACTGAGCACAACGATATTTTTTTTGGAACACATAGACTTTTATCTTCATTTTTAAATAAAGATTTAAAGCAAAATGATACTTTCACTGTTTACACTAAATTAACACATTGACAGCTCGCTTCCATACAAAGTTCCACCGAGGGACACTAAGATCATAGAGGTAACTCTAAGACTAGAAGATCCCGAAATAACGTGCTCAACTTTTTGGCTCAGCTCTGGTACTCTCTTCGGTCCCAAGCTAATCGATTCACCCCTCGAAACATAGGAAAATCCACTAACCCCTCATTTTATCTGTCAAACTTTCATAGCGAATCAAAACAAACATTGTTTAGTAGTAAAATTTCGACTATAATAGGGTACGTTAGTCGTTTGCTTGGGACCAATAGGCTAGTCAAGTAGTGAGCCAATTTAAAATCGTTAGTTTCGTATTGATTGTTGCTAAGATGGTGAATTTTTGCTAATGTAATCGCACTTATTTAAATTAATGAAACTTTGAATTTCGGATACATCGTTTATGTAGATTACGAATATGCATTTACCTCAATACCATTAAGGAACCCAATTCAGGGATGCGTGGGGTGCATTTTTGTCTATGGACCCTTAGTCAAATTCAGAGACTCTCAGAGAAGTTTAAATAAACATCCGATATGTAAAGGGGAAATCCCAAAAAGACTTCTCAGTAACTTTCAACGGGACCTCTGGGAAGGTCAGGGGAACTTAGAAAAGTTCATGGTATTTCAAAAACATTTAGAAACTTATGGAAAGCTTTGTAAATATGAGAAATATTCAAGGAGCTTCGTACAAGGTTTTTAGCTCGTGTTCCGACAAGCCTGTGATGGTGCTCGGTGGTGCTTCTAACAATTCTAACCAAGATTGATTCAAGATTACGACGTCAAGTTAAATTTTATTTTTCAAAGATAATTTAGTGATTGATGTCTCCAAATATTAAAACAAAACTTTTCAATTGTATTGGATATCAAGTCCTACACGGACGTAATACCTCACAGGCTAAATCTAGTTTACCCCTTACAAATTTTACTCCCTTTCGTCAAAAGTGGATTTACTCACACAACAATTGGTTCGCTAAAATCCGAAATAGAGCAGGTAAAACGCGGCTGCAGTAGGTTCCGAAAACGTTTGACGACAATGATCGAAAATAAAGGAAACTTTTTGGAATGTAACCTGTAGAGGGTGATACGGTCAAAATTTGGTCAATATCAACTTGACGTATTTCTTTCAATTTTGCAGGGCGAGCAGCAGTTCAAGGCAAACTGGCTTTCTACGGCGAAGAAGGTGGACAAGGTGGCTGTACAAAATCTGATGGCAGGGGTCAACCGTAAGGCCCGGCAATTCGGATTTGGAAAAGCGGAAGCCTAACTGAATATTTTTCCTGAATTTTATACTAATTGAACTTGAAAAAGAAATTTAAATAAACGATTTCACCGATTTACACGCGTTTTCCCTTGACCAAATTTTGACCGTATCACCCTTTATGTCGAGAAAAATTCCAACCCGAAAGATTTTCTCGAACGGACCGGGAATCATACCCAACGCCTCCGGCTTGGTAGCACCGTGCCTTTACTGACTATACTGTCTGAGGTCCCTCAAAATTACAAACGTTTTGCAACATCCTTTTTGCCATTTCTACGGTGACCATAATTCACTTTCTTAAACGTCGAATTTTTTCTTATCTTGGACTGTTTTTAATTTTTTTTTAAGGCATTTAATTTTCCAAAAAGAGTTTTCTCAACAAACATGTGCTTATCTTCGATTAGCAACCACCCTAGCAGAAGTAGCTTCGCTATCATCTGTCCGCGTCAAATCATTAGTCGCTGCTGATTTTCAGCCGACGACCATTGTACGATAACGTCCGAAGGAGACCCAAAATTGATATACCACCGGGCAGCATCTCGCTATCTCGGCGTCTCCGAAACCAACCCGCTTCAATTATGTGACAGTACGCAAGACGCTACCGTAATTCACATAATTGTGAAAGACAAATTTGATCAATTCAGCATCCTTTCTCGCCCCTTGGCCTGCCGCATGCTCGAGAATTTGGCCTTGATGCAGATGTTGTGATGGAATGCCCGCTTCGATTCGGGTTACAACTCGATTGGCGATCGAAAGATGTGACTCGAAATCGGTTATCAGACATCCGCTCGAATTACGTCTCATTCATATGACTTGAGAATGACGCTTGCGAGACGACTTGTGCGACGTCGTTGACTTTATTATCGAATACTGTTTCCATGACTAACTGAAGAAGCACTTGACAAATGAGAGTGATACAGGCTATGCCAGGTGTTTATTTACTGCTATTGTTTGAGTCGTATGACGCCAAACCTGCAACTACCAATGCGAAACAACGGAGTATCAACGGAGGTGCAAATCAAAATTTCTTGATAGTGGTTGTTTACAGAGAGATTTGGATTGCTAATCCTGGAAAGGCGATCGGATTGGTTCCATTGGTTCCACATCACACCTGACTTGGAACGTTTTGAGGCAACCAGCTGGTGGTCGGCTTGCATGATGCGTACAGTAAACAGGGATATACTGAAAAAGTTCGAATCAATGGACGCAGTAGTTTAAATCTTCCAACAACAACAAAAAATACCAAAACGCGTGGAATTTTTACTAACTCCAAAAGCTTGAACACCTTCAAATCCTTCTAATCACAGTAGGCACAGCGAACGTATTTTCGGAAGAGTGAGTCTTTATCTTATCACAAAGCAGTCATAGACCGAAAGACAGTGGGCAGTAGATGAACGCCTAATGAAAACAAACAGACCGAGTCACGAGAATCGACGTTTTCCCTATCTCGGGAATTAGTCGTCACCAGCCAGCCAGCCAGCCAGCCAGCGGCGTGGTGACATTGAAGAGAGCCATGCAATTGTGAAGAACGTGGCGCCAGATGTGGATTATACAAAGTGCGTTCCCATTTGTGACATTCATCGCATGGCAAGGAACCTTTGCAACAATTCACATTTTTATTATTCCAGTCAGTGCCTACTTGCTGCGAATTCAAATGTCAAACTGTGCAAATATTTTTAACGCGCGCTATTACTAATAGTACCGTAAAGCGGGGGCAAATTGGTCACGCTGTGAATATGTTCATTGCTTGTAGTCTATTTTCATTTCAATAAGGGGGTAGTCCACTATGGCGGCATGAAAAATAGGTAATTTTCACGAATTTTTTTTGAGGGTAAATAACGATCAATTCAAAAAAAGGAATGCATGGTTTTGTCAATTGAAATGTCCTCTTTAATTGAGATTTTTTTTTTGCGCGATTGTACCCGCTGCACCAGGTTCCCCAGGAGACCTCCCGTCTGAGTCGTCGCGGGGCGGGACGTCTGGCGGTCACACGACTAAATTTTCAATAGCGACCAAAAATATCCATTAGTACCATCCCAATGACGCATTCATCTAGATAAAATTGATAAATAACAGATTTTTAGCGATGGGCCCAATCTTAGATTCATAGGCCAACATGAGAGCCATTTCCCCAATGTGGAAACAAACAAGAAGCACAGAATTATCAATGATTTTAAAACCAACTTATTCAGAAATAATGTTATTTCCAGTAGTGTGTTCGATCAATTTCAGCCCGGTGATCAATTTGTCTCCGGTTTACGGTACCTTACTAGATAGTTTGTGAAGACGAGTCGATGGCAGCTGAAGTGTGTTTACTAACAAATACACTCGGGCATCTGTGAAGTACCGGTCAACAATTAAAAGTTGAATTGTAAATTTTTGTAGCGTGCATCTTAATCGCTTCATTGACTGCCACCAGCGTGGCCGAGTCACGTTTTTCCAATACTTCCCAGTAATTTGGACAGCAGATGAAAACTGGTCAGAGCCGTTGAATTCCGTGAAATTACGGGCCAATGCTGCTACTATTCTCTCGAGCAGTAAAAAGTGGCTAGCCGGTATCGCCGCCATAAGTCGTTAATTGCCTGTAAACTGTAACAATTGATTATATAGGCCTAATCCGGTCGATTGAAGTTTATTGGCAATTGACAGGGCGGGCGACGATTGTTGGGAAGGGTGCATTGCAGTATTTATGAGCATACTGCTGCTAAGGCATTACCACAAGCACCTTTCCTGCATCGGGAATGTCCACAGTTCGATTGTTTTACTGGTTTTTTCACAGTAACAAACGCAGTTTCTGGTACCAAACAGGAATTGGAAATGTCCATGCAATACAGGTAAATGCATACTATCGTAATGCTCTGTATCGTCTTCAAATAATTGTACACAATTCCATACAACAGAGCAGAGCAGGCTATTGGAATGCCCCGGGTGGTTCGTCTCATCTACATCTACCTGATAAATAGCAACCACTCTAGCTGCGCGCAACGGCGTCTTATCAGTCCAGCACGACATGCCACGCTCTAGATGAGTTACCCGTTGGAATCATACCTAGCTTCTAAACAAACTGAACTGATGGAAATCCTCGTGCGAGTTGCAAGATAAATTGTGGCACTTTGGTTGATTGTAAATTAGACCCCACAAAGAATAGGGCCATCAGCAAAGGAATGTGACGGATCACAACTAGACGACTGCGAGGTCACTGCGAAAAAGCAAATATTAATAAAAAAAAATCAACTACTGGGTTGGACTCTGGCTTAAAAGTGGAAAATGCCCGAGCAAATATGTTCAAACTCGCCGGGTACTTGTGGACGAACATTTAAAAACTATTTGCGTGTTTCCAGGCGATCTTATAAGCCGGGTGCTACACTTACGCTTGCGGCCAATGACGACGACGACGACGATGTGTTGCTATCGCCCGCTCGACATACCTTGAGGATAAATCAATTATCACCGTTTCAAAATAATCGCAAACGTCGACGATGATGGTGGGTGCTCTACGGGCTAGTGGTGTGTTATTTGCCATGTACACAATAGCCGAGGGAGCTGAGGAGAAATCGATCACGAACTAGTCTATATGGTTTCGCAGTACGAAATAATAGCGATCGCGTTAGCACCTCTCCAATACAATGCGGGATTGGTCGTTCGTAGTAGAAGATGTAGCCGAATATCATCCGGCCGCATCGCCCGGACCCGCGCTAAGTGATATTGTACACAAATTTTTATATTGCCCCAGCGCTTGTCAAGATTAAACCTTCTAAACCATGCGCGCTTTGTGTTATCATCATGATAATTGAAGCTGAATATATATACTGGTAGGTCCCTGTATGCTGCTGCTGGCGAATGGACGACATCGGCGGACACCCGAAGGAGACGTGGATTAATTTTTCAACAAAACGTTTATTTGAAGATGTCGTCGTTGTCGTCGACGACGACGACGACAGTGACAAGGTTACAAACGGAACAACTTTGGCAACTACTCCACACACTTCCTCCCATTGCATGCTACTGGTTTTCTGTTTACAAACTTCCTAGAACTCTTGAGCTACGTAGCATTCATTCAAGAACATAAAATTCCTCTCCTGATGCCAGAAGGTATGTATAGGTAACACAACACGACAAGTACAAGTCGGATGAATAAATCAACAATCGAATACAAACAAACATTTACATCTAGAAATAAGTCGGACCTATATTAAACTTAGGCAGGAATTTTGCAGCGAAACAAAGTCAAATGATTATACTGCACAAGAACCGAGAGGGCAGAAATGAATCAATAATTAACATGTTTGTTGGTTGGTTGATTGGGTGGTGGTACATTGTTCCTCGATGATGGGCTGAATACTGACTCGAGTCTATTGATGTTCTGTGGGTAGGTTTACGTCTAGTTTCTCTGGATTATACGGGTTCAACAATATTTTGGATAATTTGTTCTATTTTTCGATTTTTGTTCCGTTCTTGTGTCTCACTTGCATTTGTCTCGTTTTCTCTCAGTATGTCTTTTTTCGTTTTTACTTTTTTTTTTTTGTTTTCTTTAGTGCAATAATAGTTCAACTAACAACACTATATGATAAATTGATTGGTTAATTAATTATGACGAATACTTACACTTACTGATTCTCTCCGATTTTTCTCTCGCTTGTATGCATGCGTACGTGTGTGTTCGGGAGTCTGATCGCACAGCGTTTTATCCTCATACACACACACATATATAGATATAATATTCTCTTTCGCTTTCTCACTTTCGCGCTCACGCTCGTTCAACGGGCTTTAAATACCTAGAGGTTCGCTTAGACTATGATAACATGATAATGACTTTTTGATGATGGCTACGATTCTATCTTAACGTTGGTGGCGAGCGCAAACTGCAGTTCCGACTGTAGCCGCTTGTTCTCCGTTAGCAGTTGGTTGATGCTTTCCTTGAGCTGCAGGTTTTCCAGCAGTATCTGATCCTTTTCGGCAAGGCACTCGGTTAGTTTGTCGCTGGTGTCCTTTAGCCGGGTGATGTACTCGCAGGCTTTCGCCAGGATGCCACCCTTCGAGAGGTTATCGCCCTGGCCACCGTTCTGTTTGTTCTGCTGTGGATCCGACGAGGGGCTGTTCATATGTTCCGCAGGGATGATCTTGTTGAGCTCGTGGATCCAGTTGTTGATCTTGTCCCGCCGCCTTCGTTCAATTTCGTTGTGATTCGCCCGTCGTCGGTCATCTCGTTGCTGAAAGGAGAACGGATAAAATAGAGTTAATCGAATGCATCGGTGCCATTTGTGGAATTTGCTTCCTCTTCTTCCTGCAAAGCTAACTGTTCTAGTACTGAATGATGCTGAAAATCGCAATTCCATGTTGTCAAAATAGTTTAATAATCTATGTTATTATAGTTTTGCAGTTGCATAGTTTTTGAGAAGGTTTGGCAAGTTTTTTGTGGAAATCAACATAGTTCTTAAAACTAGTTGACTTGTACTTTGACTATATGTTTTTAGTATTACTTCTACGTGAAGTCAACGATTTACATAGTTGAAGATGCAAATTTCAAATAACAGACTGTAGTGGTAATTTTTATACGATAGATGGAGTAGATGAAAGCATAGAGTTGATAGTTCCGTTAGAGTACGGCAGTGTGAAGATTGCATATAGATGTTAGAATAGCGAGCTAGGACAACTTTTAAAGGAAGGTACAAATCGGTTTTTTCATCTCTCTTTACCAAACTCCCTCTGCCCCCCTCTGCGGGGTTGTCAACAAACTACGTAGCATTACGTCAGATTGTTGAGGAAAAACGTCCTCTTTTAGTTTTCTTATCTGAAACTTATATTGTAGAAACTGAAGCTTTTGATCAGTATAGTATTCCGGGATATATTGTTGCTGCTTGTTTATCACATTCTAGACACACTGGCGGTGTTGCTATTTATGTCAAAGAATCAGTTCAATTCAACCTTCGTACCAACGAAGTTATTGATGGCAACTGGTTCTTGGGCATTACAGTTGTACGTGGCATGAAGATGGGTAATTATGGTGTTTTGTATCATTCTCCCAGTTCTAGTGACCAGCGTTTTGTTGAAGTTTTAGAGAACTGGTTTGAGACATTCCTTGATTCTAGTAAATTAAATATATTGGCTGGTGATTTTAATATTAATTGGCGTGATAACCATAATTCGAATCATTTGAAGCGTTAAGCTGAGTTTTTTAATTTAAAGCAAACGGTAAATGAGTATACGCGTATTTCCAGGCACAGTAGAACTTTAATTGACCACGTTTATTCCAATTTTGATTCCATTTGTTCAGTTACGGATACTGATTTGAAAATAACCGATCATGAGACTTTAGTGATTAATGTCTTAGACCATGTTAACGATAACGATAATTTTGTAAAATTGAAGTGCTGGAGGAAATATTCGAAGCAAGCTGTTTCGAATCTTGTTGAGAGAAGCCTGGATTTTCCATTCGCGGCCGGTAACTTAGATGAATCTACAGCTGTTCTTAATAACGCTTTGAAAACGTGTACCAATCAACTAGTTGAGCAAAAGTTTGTTTCTTTGAAAAACTCGAACAGCTGGTACAATTTGGATCTTTTGCGTCTTAAACGGAAAAGGGACAAATTGTACAAAAAGTTTTGTAGATCTAATAATGACAATCATTGGACTATGTACACAATCGCGCGTAATAAGTATTCACAATCGATAAAGAAAACTCGTTGTGAATATGTTCAAAGGAAGATTGATCAGCATCAAAACAACAGTAAAGAGTTATGGAAAATTTTGAAATCTTTATTAAAACCTAGTAATTGCAAACCGCGGTCCATAACTTTTAATGGCACATTAGAACAGTCAGAACAAGTAATTGCAGCTAAGTTTAATGATTATTTCGTAGATAGCGTTTCATTGATTAATCAATCTATTGAATTGGTCGATGAACCTGACGAAATAAAACAGCCAGTTAATAGTAGTTGTAGATTTGAAGTTTTTCACCCAATCACATTAGATGAACTTAGAGTTATTTGTTTTTCATTAGGAAAATCGGCTGGAGTAGATAATGTTAATGCTAGAGTTATTCGAGATTGCTTTCATGTCATTGGCCACATCTTGCTGGACCTTATTAATGAATCATTACAAACTGGACATGTGCCACAAATTTGGAAAGAATCCTTAGTGATTCCTATTCAAAAAGTCGCTGGAACGATTAAAGCCGAAGAGTTTCGTCCCATCAACATGTTGCACACATTAGAGAAAATTTTAGAACTTGTTGTTAAAGGCCAGCTGTTGGAGTATTTAAATAGTAATAGTTTGTTGATACCAGAACAATCGGGATATCGGGAAGGTCATTCTTGTGAAACCGCGTTGAATTTGGTATTAGCGAAGTGGAAAAATAACTTGGAGTGTAAAGATACGATTGTTGCTGTTTTTTTGGATCTTAAACGCGCTTTTGAAACAATTTCTAGGCCCTTATTGTTAAGATCAATCAAGCGCTTTGGAATTACGAGTACTGCATATAAATGGTTTGAAAGCTATTTGTCTGACAGAACTCAACGGACTGTTTTTAATGATTCTGTTTCCAGTCCCGTGGGGAATACCCTTGGAGTGCCCCAGAGAAGTGTATTAGGGCCCCTGTTATTTATTATGTATATTAATGACTTGCGACGTGTTTTACGATTTTGCGACATTAATCTTTTTGCAGATGATACTGTGTTATTCATTGCAGCTAAGGATTTAGATGATGCCGTTTTACACTTGAATGAAGATTTGCGTTCTCTAAGTAGATGGTTGAAGTATAAGCAGTTAAAATTGAATACAAGTAAAACTAAATTTATGGTAATTTCGCGGAATCGAGTAAATGAGAACGTCTCTGTTGTAATTGATGATGAGACTATTGATCGCGTTCGGGAGATTAAATATCTTGGCGTGATTATTGATGACACACTTAAGTTCAACTCTCACATTGACAATGTCATCAAGAAAATTGCCAAGAAGTATGGAATTCTATGTCGACTGAAAAACGATTTAACTATTGCCAGTAAAATACAGCTATACAAATCAATCATCTCTCCTCATCTTGACTTTTGCCCTTCCATTTTATTTCTGGCCAATGCAACACAAATATCGAGATTACAGCGCTTGCAGAATAAAATAATGCGTTTGATTTTGAGATGTAATAGATTCACTTCCTCAACTTTGATGTTAGACGCCTTACAATGGTTGTCGGTGAAGCAAAGAATTGTATATTTGACTATGGTGTTCATTTTTAAAGTAGTTAACGGTTTGCTGCCTCGATATTTGTGTGATCGAATTGAAAGAGGAAGTGACTTTCATAGATATAATACTAGAAACGCGGTTGAAATAAGAACACCACATTTCTTGACTTGTGCTTCACAAAATTCATTATATTATAAAGGAATAAATGTTTTCAATTCGATGCCTAGACATATCAAACGTTTAGCAACACTTACAGAATTCAAAAGACACTGCATTTCACACGTTAAAACTGTCTTTTGAACAGTTATCCAGTGATTTTTTTTATGAATTGACAAATTATGTATCTTGACGAAGTTATCTCTAACGGATTATTTTATATGGATAGCTGTCATAACGACTTTTTAATAATTATTGTAGCACTGCAAAAACTATTTCTGTTCGCCACGAGGGTGATGATGGATTTTTAATATATGATTTTATAGTAGATTAATTTAAAAATAAAAAGTAGTCTACAAAGGTTTGAGCCTCGCGCGCGTATTACGGATATAGAGGACTGAATTTAACATTTGATAAAAAAAAAAATGCAATTTTGAAGCTTATTTGGAAGATACCTTGAGTTAGTAGTAAGTTTTCTGGCAAATGTTGGGGGTTCGTGAGCATTCCTGACATTGCTGAAAATTATGATAGCATCAGATTGCGGGGTTACTAGTGTAATAGGATGCTTTGTTGATTGTTCATTAACTCTTGATTGCTTGTAATACTTATGAATATTTTAGGTGGACAAAAAGGCGAACTAAGAGGTGGACGCCTGAGCTTTTCCACATTTATATCGCTGTGAAGCAACTGTAAACTTGAGAGGGAATCTATATCTGTAACTGAAACCAGTTCGAATTTGTTTGCCAACCTGGTTAAAATGTCATATTCAATTATCTTAAAGATAAATCGTCCAGCTCAAACCTTTGTAGGGGTAAGAGGTGGGACCATCATCATCATCATCATCATCAAATCTTCATAGTGTCTGAAATTAGTTCCATCGAAAATTGGAAGTGGAAAGGCAAAATAACCAAAATAGCGGCCATCTGTGGATTCTATCAATTTTAAAATTAACACTAGACAACGGAGCTTGCCTAACTCTCAAACCTCCAACGTCCGGTACTGATGAATGCTAAAACTATCATAATTTCATGACTGGTAGTGGGTATGTGATGTAATAGTAGTGACTTTAATGACTAAAATTTCGAAAATAGTGACCAAATAGTGACTTTTAAACAAAAATAAAGTGACCAATAGTGACATTTATGGATCGGAAAGATATGGTTCCAATCATCCGTTATTCCGGTATTTTTCATGCTTTTTGAAAATAAAAAAAAAATGATTTAAGGATCACATAAATTTGTTATCGAAACATACATATGAATTGAATAAGCAAGATCACGTTCCAGTTCTAACCTCCATTTCCTCACTCTGCAGATCGCGAATTTGTTATTGGATCGTTAAATAGAGACACAGAGAAAAATGTTCAAAGTACCGATTTTAGAGAGCATTTTTTGAAGATATCAAGAGCCACATGTGAAAAGGGCATACAAGCTTTGTATGCCCTCTTCTCGCCAACCGAGGGTCGCCCACACAAACTAACAACATCATCGGAAAGGGGAAACTTTACCCTATCCGGCGATGTTGATGGTTTGCGTTGGTGTCATATGGGTGGCGAGAAAAGGGCATAAGAATGCTTGTTTACAAAAAGCTTGTTGTTCTTGATATAGTTTACAAAAAGCACATGTTGTTCTTGATATAGGATAGGATATGAAGCGATGCATTTAGCAACATGAAGAACTGCAGTTTAGAATTAAATGTACATATATACACACCAACTAAAACAAACATCAAGGATACTAAAGCTACCGGGGGTCAAAGATTTTTCAAATTTCTGGCCTTTGAACAAATGTTGCGAGCTTGTTATACATTGAACCAACGAGAAAGGTAATTTAGATAGGACTTCAATGACATGGCAATGAATTCCACTGGATTCACT